TTCATTTGGCTTTGTTTTGAATGGAAATTGTAAAAAAAAGTGATAAATATTTTTACCACTGTGTAGAATTTTTTCAAATTAAAAAAAAAATAAATAAAAAAAAAAAAAAAAAAAAAAAAGTTAAAAACTTTTGTAAACCAATACATGAAGAACACGATCAGCCAAAGAATTATAATGTGGAATCAAGAATCAAGTAGAGAAATTTGGAAGAAATAATTTGTGTTTTGAATTTTGATATGGCACAGAGAACTCGAAAGAGAAGAAACGATTGTGGTGTAAACAAAGGTTTCAATTTCAAAGGTTTAATTAAGTGTAACCCGACTAAACCGGGAGTGGGTCACGGGTTTTCCAAAAACCAGCTGGTCCAAATAACTTTTGGGAGAGTTTTCAACTAGAGGTTTTCTAAGCCAAACAGGACCGAGTTTGGCCAGATCACGGGTTTTCCAGCTGAATTGACCGGCCCGATCTAATTTTTAAAACATTGATTTTCCTTTATCTTTCGTTCCAAGTTGAAAGAAAGTCGAGTGTCGGGATTGGGACTAATAAGTGCTAAAGATTGTCATTGTTGCATATCCATTGCTACTTGGAAGAACTTAATTTCGTCTATATAATGCTCGTATTGTTTTCGCTGCTGAAAATTGAAATGTTACAAAACTATATAATATTAGACTATGTTCGTGCTTTTGCAGCTATATTTCTATAGTAACTCCTAGTACATCATCTGAACAGAGGATCAACTCATCTAGTGCGGGATATATAATTTACTCGATTGAAGTTTTCTTGTGGCCAATACGATCAAAGGGAAAGCCAACAAACACGTTGTATAATACTACTATTAGTTCGTGCCTATAATGTTCAAGGAAAAACTCAAGTGGAAGGAAATGCAATAAGAACTTCCAAAGTAACAAACAAGAGCAGAAAAAGTGGTAAGAGGATCGAAATGTAAATCAATTGAGCAGCTACACCTACTTCATAAACAGTATCGAAATGACAAAAAGCAGTAAAGAAAGTACCATCTTTTGTCCTAAAAATTCTGAACAGAAAAACTACTCGTTTGTACACCAAAACATAAGAATGAAGCAAGCAGCAGCATATGAAAATGTTCTGCATCAACTTAAAGGAACAATGAATATTCAAACTTCCTGCTCAAAATGCCAGATTTAACAGCATCAATGAATATTGAAACTCCAGCTTCTTATCTACTCAAGACAATTTTCTTTATACTTTACTCGAATGACCTATCGAAACAGAATTGGACAAGTACAAAGATACAAAAGGGCGAGCCTTTACTAAGATAAAACTGCAAGATAAAAATGAGTCTTAACATAGAATGAGGGCGTGTGGGCTCTGTTCTCATCAGAGACAATTTACTCCAGAGAATTAGCAACAAGAAAATTTTATACTCTATTCAACAATCGCCATTTTTCCTTGTCATGGTTGAAATTTGTTAGTTACGAAATCAATATATGAAAAGAAAAAATCCTTTAGATTTTGTTTATATATAAGTAAAGAAAACATTACTAGAATAGATTATAATAATTTCAAAATGAATTTATAAATCATCTTTGAACTTAATTTTACAGATGAAATTAGAATTTCATCACAATTCGAATTCTTCCAAGCAGTAATGTTTGCGCAAAATTCATATACTTCACAAATTGATTCATGAATGAACTATGATCAACATGCAACTCATGCACATATAAGTTAATTTAAGGCCATATGAAGTAAATTTATTCCTCAACTTGCTGAATTCTTGAGTCTCTTTTAAGGTTATTGGTATTAGTCCCACGTGTTTCAAAATACTCCAGTACTCTAAAAAGCTCAAATAGTACAGAATCAATAACCCACAAAAAGCACCATACAGGATAGTAATTCGTAGAATAGAATCGACAGGATCATAAAATATAGCCAACCTTAATTTCAAAACAAGGCGAAAATACATTAGTTCTTTTATGTTTTCATTTTAGTATTACACACAATACATGGATCTAGATGAGAATGGGAAAGAGTCCATCTGAAATGTCTCACAAGGCTGCTAAAGTTAATGTCTCCTGCAAGAAATAAGAAAATGTTTTAAAATCAAATTAAATAAGAGAAAAGGGAGTTCTTAGAGAATCGTAGTATACCAGCTCTGTTTACCATTCTTTGATTATGACTTTAAGCTCTTCATTTCCATTTTCTTCTTGTTCTTCCTGAATTTGCTTCGCAGATTCTCTGATAGCTTGCACGCACCATTGTACCTCAATCTTCTGTAACGTTAGAATATCACCTAAACTGGGAGGGATCATCTTCAAATTGTAGCAATTTCGCAATACTAGTTGTTGAAGTCTTGGAAAATTATCACTTGAGGCATTCCATTCTGCAATTTGTACCCAACATAGTTTCAAAAATTTAAGTCGTAGGAATTCAACTTCACTCGTGTCCCATTGTTTTCCCTCAAAGGAAACCTGTACTAATTTGAGAACCTCAAGGCACTGCAATATCCCAATTTCCTCCATTTGTTCTGGAGACATGTGTACATCAACTAGAGTCAATTGTTTGAGATTTAAAGGCAGACTCATCAAAGTGGAACATGAATCTGGCATGTCATGCTGACTAGGTAATAACTTCAATGTTTCGAGATGATTAAGGAAGTCGAAAGAATGATTGAGTGAATATCTAACCCTGGCTTTCAGTCTGCTAAGATTTGGTAAACATCTCAAGATTTTCTCGTCTGTTTCATCGGAAATTTAAAGTATAGAAATACTTTGCAGGTTACTATTTCTTAGGAAGCTTTCATCCTCAGTTGCTTGCTGACGACAAGATGCATTGAAGTATGCACCGCCACTGAAATGCATGTTTCTCAAGCTCACCATCTTAAGAAGGATCTCAGGTATTTCCACTCGATGTGTATTCTCCAAAACAAGAAATTCTAGTTTGTGAAAGCTCTCCATTGGGGGCAGTCTATTGGGACACGACGTTTCCAATTAGTGCAAACATCCAAAAACTCAAAGAACCTAAGAACTTTGAAGCTGCGAGAGTTTACAGATGAGCGATTTGCAAATTGTTTGCAGTCAATACTCAGACAACGGTGTTGCTGATACATCAATACTTGACTAAAGAACCGTGGATCATCATGATTACTGTTAACAACATAGTCACATCATTGGTACGATCATCAGATACAATCACCATTATTAGTAGGCTAAAACAAAAATGAAGGAAAAGGAAAGAAAGAAGAAGAGAAATAGTGAACTTACAATTTGACCATCTTCAAATGTTTTTTTTTCTTCAGCTATTCTGAAGCGCATTTTACGTAATATATCATGAATCTTACAAGTTTTTACTCCTCCTTCAAATCTTCTTTTAACAAGTACCAAGCTCCTATCAATTATTTCCGTAAGATATTTTCGTGCCACATCCTCTAAGCAGTTTTGCTCTTCCGTCCTTATATATCCTTCAGCAACCCATAACGATATCTACTTTCGTACCGAGATTTCCTTGTCTTCATCGAATGCTCCAAAGTAAAGAAAACATGGTTTCAAATGCACTGGTAAATGCTTGTAGCTAAGTTCCAATAACTGGATGCGGTTGTCTGGGTCTTTGGATATATATGAACTAAGATTTCTTGCAACTTTTTGCCACAAGTGTTCTTTCTTCTCCGTATTTGCAAGAACTCCAGCTATCACGACCACTGCAAGTGGTAGGCCTTAACAATTTATTGCAATTTGCATCCCAATGTGTATCAATTCTTGGGGACAATTTTTATCTTGGAAGACATTCCATTGTAGAAATTCCCAACATTCAACTTTTGACAGAAAAGGAAGTGCATTTATGACGCTATGAGGAGAAGCTTTCGAACCAACTTCTTTATTCCGAGTGGTGAATAAGATTCTGCTTCCAATTCCATCATCTGTAAAATACCTTTTCAAATCATTCCACACATTGCAATCCCTTATATCATCTATCACAATAAGGTAACGCCTTCCTTTTAACTTTTTGTAAAGATTTTCAGCCAAACTTTCTTCCTCCATATTCATAAAATGTTTCTCTCTTACTGTGACTCNTTTTTCTTTATGGGTTAACCAACAATGTCTCTACAAGGTTAAGGAAAGAATCAAGTGAAAACTATGTCTATTGGTAAAACATAGCAAGAGAATTATTATGTAAATGGTACGAGGATTGGCAAAGAAAAGGTTGTATATGTCGTCGCCCCTTATGATGTAGAGACCCAACATAAGTTGCTGTAAACCTTCCTCCAGATCAGAGCAGGGATGAATTGTACTATGAGAAAATCAATCTTATGGAACCACACGAATTGTGTTCGAATTTTTTTTTAGTGTGCAATGTTACGAAAATGGATTATTCGAAACTTACAAAATATGGGGGAAAAAAAAAGGAGATCGAAATCTTGGAGGAAAAGATCAAATTTTCTGAAAAAATGGAACACAATGAAAAAATCAAGATATTCCAAAAAAAAAAAAAATTAAAAACTTTTGTAAACCAATACATGAAGAACACGATCAGCCCAAGAATTAAAATGTGGAATCAAGAATCACGTAGAGAAATTTGGAAGAAATAATTTGTGTTTTGAATTTTGATATGGCAGAGAGAACTCGAAATAGAAGAAACAATTGTGGTGTAAACAAACGTTTCAATTTCAAAGGTTTAATTAAGTGTAACCCGACTAAACCGGAAGTGGGTCACGGGTTTTCCAAAAACCAGCTGGTCCAAATAACTTTTGGGAGAGTTTTCAACTAGAGGTTTTCTAAGCCAAACCGGACCGAGTTTGGCCAGATCACGGGTTTTCCAGCTGAATTGACCGGCCCGATCTAATTTTTAAAACATTGATTTTCCTTCATCTTTCGTTCCAAGTTGAAAGAAAGTCGAGTGTCGGGATTGGGACTAATAAGTGCTAAAGATTGTCATTATTGCATATCCATTGCTACTTGGAAGAACTTAATTTCGTCTATATAATGCTCGTATTGTTTTCGCTGCTGAAAATTGAAATGTTACAAAACTATATAATATTAGACTATGTTCATGCTTTTGCAGCTATATTTCTATAGTAACTCCTAGCACGTCATCTGAACAGAGGATCAACTCATCTAGTGCGGGATATATGATTTACTCGATTGAAGTTTTCTTGTGGCCAATACGATCAAAGGGAAAGCCAACAAACACGTTGTATAATACTACTATTAGTTTGTGCCTATAATGTTCAAGGAAAAACTCAAGTGGAAGGAAATGCAATAAGAACTCCCAAAGTAACAAACAAGAGCAGAAAAAGTGGTAAGAGGATCGAAATGTAAATCAATTGGGCAGCTACACCTACTTCATAAACAGTACCGAAATGACAAAAAGCAGTAAAGAAAGTGCCATCTTTTGTCCTAAAAATTCTGAACAGAAAAACTACTCGTTTCTACACCAAAACATAAGAATGAAGCAAGCAGCAGCATATGAAAATGTTCTACATCAACTTAAAGGAACAATGAATATTCAAACTTCCTGCTCAAAATGCCAGATTTAACAGCATCAATGAATATTGAAACTCCAGCTTCTTATCTACTCAAGACAATTTTCTTTATACTTTACTCGAATGACCTATCGAAACAGAATTGGAC